GTGTTTGGTGCTTTTCAGAAAGTAATTTGGAGGCTTTTTTCATGGCATCAATGTTCCTCTTTGTATCCTGCAGAACTATATCTTTGTTAGCAAGGAAAAGAATCCCAGAGCTGCCCTCTTGCTTGTAGACATGCTGGACAGATAAAAAGAAATAAAAAACCATGAGACAGGCCTCATCCTGTAAAAAAAGGTTAAATTGAAAAAGTGAATTTAAAAAAAGAAGGAAGGATTCACTTTCCAGCACTCAATACTTACTGCACCCGGTTTAAGGCTCTGCAGTTCTGCTTCCACAACCTCCAGTATGTGTTGCTATACAAGAAAAAAAGTAAACTTCAGCAGAAAAGACTGAAACCCTTCAACTATACTCATCATTAGGGCATTGCAGTATACAGGTATTTTCATCATACTGTGGCATTCAGTTCTCATGATAATCATACTGACTCCTAAATTTTTTGGTATTGCCATGGGAAAACCATGGGATACTGCCTATGTTCATACCATCACCACAATAAGGAAACCATAAGATACTGCCTTTAATCATACTGTTGCCATGGCACCATATGAAGAACCATTTCTAAAAATAAAATACTTCAACTATGCTCCCCGTTTCCAGGTTTCACAGTTTCTTGTGATACCCACTGCCTGGGGAAAACCAAAACCTTCCTAGAAGTCACCAGAGTGTATTAAATCCAAATGCAAGGATCAAAATCCATCATTTGTGGGTACACTTACACCTTGGCTGTGACCTCTGTTCGATGAGCCTGAGCACTCAATATCAAAATAAAAAACCTGCAGCCATGCACAATAAGATGGTTTCTCTTCAATGATGCTTCTTTTTTCCAAGATCCATAATTTTGAGTCCTCCCAGCAACTTCAATTGCAGTATTATTCCTTGCTTCTATCCATTTAGGTTGAGATGAATGAATCCCCTTGCTCTCAATTGAATGTCATAATATAGGTGTGTGACTAGCTCAATGCCATCATAATAGAAAGACTCATTCTCTTTGTGGATTTTTTTTTCCTGGAAGTTCATAACTGAAGTACATCTCACTGGTATCACTGATATACCATGGTATACCTACTGAGAAATTTATTGCATAACACAATGCCCTACTTATCACCAAAAAGAAAAGCACTACCTAGAAGGAGTTAATCCTTTTAGTGCCATGGGAACTATATACAGGGTGGCCCAAAAAAAGGGCACTCTTTTCAATGTGCATTTTAGGTGTGATGCTGTCAAGGATAATTTTTCTGGTTACCTGTAATGGAAAGAAGAAAGACTCAACTACAGAATGCTTTTTTTTCAGACTTTAAATATCTTAAAGGATGACTTAGAAACAATTTATTAAATTTCAGTTATGAGAAACTGGTGATGCACTCACCGACCGCATACGGCGGCAGGCACATTCAATCATCCTTGTGATGTCTGCTGAGGTCAGCGTTTCCCTTCCCCTTTTCATGAATGTCAGGATGTCTAGTGGATGTTGGGTCAAGTTGGTGAGGGCAAAGCCGATTTTGTGCAACTGAAATTCAGTAATTCTTTTCTAAATCACCCTTTAATGAATTTCAAGTTTGAAAATTGCATTTTGTAGCTAAGTCTTTCTTCTTTCCATTACATGTAACCAGGAAAAATATCCTGGTTACATGTATCCAAAGGTTGGGCATTTTCTGTTGCCCTTGGGTGGTTTCAGACAATTTCAGCACCAA